GGTATTAATAAGGTCATTATTACTATCTTCATTATACTTGATGACAGCTAAAGATCACAAGCATTACACAGTAATCCATTTCCTGTTTCTGTAAAAATATGAAGTGAAAACTTTACACGTTGTATCATCAATCTTAAATCTTAAATCGCTGTCATATAGTTTTAATTAAAAAATCCTGCAGTTGTATAGCCCATCATCTCTACTTTATGCATTGTTATTGTGAAAAATAATAAAATAAAGTTAATAAAAACAATTTATAAACTTAAAAGCTGAACAACAGACTATTGTACAGTAAAGTAAAACCTTGATTTGAAGCCTTGGGCTTTGGATAGGCTTCTTTTCGAGATGGGCTCCTTTTTTTCTCAAGGCTACTTTTGAGAAGTAAAGAGGGGACTTTAAACTATACAGGAGGCCGCTAACTGTATTATACAATATTATACACAGGAACGCACATCACGTTAGACACAGAACGCGCATCGCGTATGACACAAAATGGCTTCTAAATTCTCAATGTCGCAACTCTTTCTATCTATGTCTTAAAAGCTGAACAATAGACTATTATAATAATAATAATAATTTAAATATAGATATACTGTATATATATGATATTGAAGGGAGTTAGCCGTTAACACTGTTGACTTCTTTTCAAAATGAATGCTCTACATTTTGGGAATTTGTACTATAAAACAATAAATAAGGCCACTGTAAACACTAATCTGTATCATGGAGTGTATTAACCGGCATTAAATCACCTAAAACTACTTTATAAACAAGCATTTTTTTAATTTAAATTGTTTTTTTTAAATTCATGTAACAGTGTGTACTGTACTATATTGAATAGAAGCCCATGCTGTCTTGAAAAGAATCCCATGGCAGGCCTAGAAATTTACTTTTTTAGCCACTAGCAACCTATTGCTAAAATTTGCTAGTCGTCAAAAATGTAACTAGCAAAATGTGTTGCTCAACTAAAATATATTGATACCAACCTAACATATTATTTTTGGAAAATAAATTGTATGAAAATAACTAATGATTATGATGTAGTTTATTGAAATTTGTGTGTTAAATGTTGTAATATAATATTTTCAGTTATGGTGAGTGTAGTACAAAAAATATCACAAAGAAATAGCCAAATGAGTATAATCAATTGATTTCTATACCTTGTATATTTATTCACTGCAGTTTCAGAAAATTTTTATTATGAAAAATCATAGATACAAAATAAAAATTAAATAATATATTATATACTTAATTTATTTGAAAAATAAATTAAGTATATATTCCATTTTTATTTTGTATATGATTTTTTTTTCATATTAAAGATGTACCTCTTTAAATTGGAATTTTTCAAAATAATGTAATATAAAATAAACTTTATTTTATATTAATTTTAGATATCATTTTGAAAAGTTCAAGTTTATGTAACTTTCTTTCATATTTTATTTTACTTAATTTGTTTTACTAGGATAATTACAAGGTATTTTTTTTTTTATAGATATTCTAACTAGCAATCATTTTTTTTATTTGCTGGTTTGTGAATGTTTATTTAGAAATTATGACAGACCTACTAGGTCTGCCATATTGCTAGTTTGCTAGTGCGAATTTCGAGCCCTGCATTGGCTTTTCTTTTCGAGGCTAATTTTGCAAACTTAAGAGGGGGCTTCAATTTGAGATGGGCTTCTTCTTGAGTTTAAGCCCATTGGGCTTTAATTCAAGATCTGTTGAGTGTACCTCCGCCCACTGCCTGAATACTAATACACAGGCCATGTATGATGGGCAATTCCATTATTTTTAGCCTTGTGCCTGAATACCGAACAATACGAAGGCTTTGTGATGGGTTATTCCATTATTTTCTTTTATGCTTGTGGGAAAAATAATTTTTGTGACCTTGTCTTTTGATCTTTTCTTTCCAAAATTTCATCATCTCATCCTTTTAATATTATGTATTCCACTAAATTTTATGATGATCCATTTATAAGTTTTTAAGTAATCTTGCTAACCGACAAACGGACAGTAGTGAGTACATACTGTAACCGCATTTAGTGTAGGTAATAATTTATCAGAGCTACAGTACATGAAAGCATTACACCTTGATCATCCTTAAATTGGAATCATCTTTAAAAAACTGAAAATACCTATTCACTCATACAATCAACAACAAAATCCTGCAAACTGATTCTCTAGAGCCGGCCACACATTGCGTCATAGGAAGGTCGTACGACCGTCGGCCTACAGATCCACGCACTATGTAAGCATTAGACAATGCAACAGTTTGCTGTTTGTCAATGGCATCCTGAATGGATCGTCATTAAAAAAATGATCCATTGCATGCACGTCATCGTGCTGTGTTCTTCATAGAATCGCGTTGACTGACAACAGTCGAACGTAGTGAGTTGCCGGGGTTAAGGCTAGAGCCTTTCCGTTGCATGCACGTCGACGTGTTGTGTTCTTTATAGAATCGCGTCTGCCAAGGGCAGTCGGGCACAGGGAGTGGCCAGGCTTAAGGCCAGGGCCTTGCCTAATGTTAGAACCAATATCATTATTAAAAAAGGCTAATTCATTTGATGCTTTATTTTGACTTTTGAATCAAAACAAGCATCAAATCCACTTTCATGTGGCAATCTTCAAATACAGTAAGAATTTGGAACAGACAAAACCTTAGGAAATCTTGAAAATTGCTGAATGAAACATTCCTATACACAGGTACTGTAGTGTGGTAACTTGCATATTAGACAAGGCTTAAAATAGCAAATTACGATAAAAAAACAGATAAAAAACAGAACACATACAAATTTTTTATTTTTATCATGTTCGCCTTATGTGGGGATTGTCTGTAACACGCAAATTTAGTACTTTAATGAAGCTCCTAAAACTTAGTATGAACACAACACTGCAGGAAATAAGATTTTGATGAACATTTGAAAGCCCATAAAATGGTATTATTTGGAAGATTGGTCCTATATTTGGCTCTGTTTTTAGCCAGCTAGATGCAGTATCAAGACCATTTAACAAGCAGCAAAAAGTAGGAATTTTGACGATGAAACAACAAGGAGGATTGTCTGACACGCCTGACATACAAAAATCGTCTAAAGATTTTCTTAAACTTGGGGGGGGGGTCGTCTTATATGCAAGTGTATACGATATCTACAGTAAAGGTATGGAGTTTTATATACTTTTTTTGTTTTTGTTTTGTTTTTTTTCTTTTGCTCTTTGGGAACGCACCAATTTAATTTGAGTGCAACTTTGAGTTTACACATCCTTTACGTGAGAATTTACTGCTCATCATACAATCCTTGTGTATTGTGCTAATCATTTTATACTGGCTTTTCCAGTTTTTATAGATAATTTGGTACATTTTGCATGATTAAAATAATACTAAGTGATGTCGGATTCACTGGACTGTCATTTACCTACATATACCAAATTAATTGTCTCATTTTGATTGTGTTGTCATGGGAACAGTTTAGATTGGGAAAGGTTTTGTTTGTGTCTGTTTAATTGGGTTAATTTATAGCCATCTGATGATTGAACATATCTTAAGGCAAATATTCTACAATTGCTAAACAATGCCTGATACCAAAGATAACAGAAGGAGAAAGAATGAACCAAAAAACAGTGAAACAACATCATTTTATCTTAGTTTAATCATGTTTGTTTCGTTTCCTGATAGTTTCTCAACTTCATCAAATATTCTCGCTTTTAGGAGGGCGGACGTTCCATTAGTTTTAAGGGAAATCGCACGAAGAGCTAATTTGTTTCCTATACAAGTTCTTTGCTAATACTTATTTCCGACTCGTCCTTTAAACTTTCTTATAGATTAACATACTGTATATACTAATGTACAGTACTATCATATTGTTGGTGGATGTTAATATTATATTAATTTGGTTGTCTATAAAAAAAAAATGAAAAAAATATAAACTATATAATCTCATACGGTATACATCATTATTTATTAAGGTAAACTATGTTATAACTAGTCTGATTAATATATTTATTCATAAAAACTTCACCCTTCACTTGAAATCTTTTGTATGATTCTAATGTAGAAAGCGTACTTACAGTATAATAGTGAGGAATTAAAGTTTTGAAATTTATTTGTAGTTTTTATTCCTGTGTTATATTGTTATTGGTGTTATTGATGTGTGAGAAGCATTTATTCAAGGGAGGCATTTATTTTTGTTGGTGTAAAATGCATTATACTCAAATATACACCCCTATAGTTTCACTGTCAATGTGGAATTACTGTACAGTACATTAATACAGTCAAAATGACTTATTGTGTGAGTGGTTATGAAGACTTATAAACCCTACTAAAAACTTTTCTGTTTAACAACGCTGAATTTGCATGATATATTTTCCCTTATTTCATCTAGGGTGTCTTTTGCAGTGCACGGTAGTAGAGCCGAGGGCTTATTCCGAGGTTGAAGCTACCAGAGCCCAGCATACTGCCTAACGGAGTGCCTGTGTGCTCCCGGGTGTGACAGCAACGTTGTTTTCGACATCGGTGGGTGGGGCCCTGTTCTGGATACTTACCTGTATACCGATAGCACAAATGCTTTTTCGGAACTGTTTTAGTTTAAGTACCGTAGTTTAAGTCAAAATTATTTAATGCTTATTATCTTTTCTATATGTAAAGCGCATTGAGGCTTTGTGCGAAATGCGCTATAGAAGTATGGAATTATTATTAAATTATACTTATTGATCCCAACCAGGTTTAGAAAAAACGTAATATTGCTGGAGTAGAACATTACGGTAATAGAATGTCCTGAGCATGATGTTGTTGCCATTAGTTTTGTTCACAGTCATTTAGAGGGTTGTTTATCCGAGCAAGGCATTTATTACAAATGAGGTTCGTTTATTCGAAGGAGGGCGTGGGGGGAGGGGTTGTTTTTCATATAAATACATTAAGTAATTTTACTATACTTTTCCAATTACAATTAACAAATTACAATAACAACCAATCAAAATTGTGAATTTTACTCTTTGTTTGAAAACAGATTTATTTAAGACGATACTAATAATATGGCAACATTGGATGACAAACTCCTTGGTGAGAAGAAGCAGTATTATTACAGTAGCAGTGAGGACGAAGGAGGGCAGGCATCGGATGAGGAACAGACAAAGGATGAAGCGACAGAGAAGCAGGCTGCAGTCAAGGAGCCGGTCTTCATCCCGAACGATGAGCTGGGCTCTCGCTCAGCCACCAAAGTAAGTACGGTACTGTATTAAGGGTAGGAAGCTAGGAGGATAATTAATCCATAACTTGCAGTGTCACTGTGCTGCCCAATAGTAGTGTACGGGTATGGTTTGGAGTGTTCTACTAATCATAGCCTTGGCATAGACTGAAATAATGTTCATTTATTGCAAAATGGCCAGCCTTGACAACCTAGTTTGATCCGGTTGGCCGGTAATTTTTTATTAAATTGACAGCTAAAACGGCTTCAGGAGGACATGTATCTGTAATGACTGTAAAGAGGTGCTTATTATAGTAGTTTCATGTTCACATCTTTCCACATCAGGGGCTGAAATGAACCATAATCCATCGTTACGGATGGACACTTTTTCAAAACTTTTAATTTAAACTCTCCAAAACCATTTTATGCTGCTCTTAGCTGTTTCATTATATGTTTCATATGCAAGAATAGTATATACTCTATCTTACAAAAAAAAATTGTGCGGATTGATATTGTTACTAAAAATAGAACAGCGAAAATGTGAGCGCTACGGACGGACAAGATAGAATTCGCTGTTTCTAATTTTTACAACTTAGCAGAAATTTCTATCTAGGGAATCGAGAGCTGACAAAAATTTTTCTTTGCTAAATTAAGTTATTTTACTTGTCTATTAATGAGAATTGGTTTGGTTTACTAAATACTTCCTTGTCTTTGAGTTATTAACAAAAAGAAAATGTTACGGACGGATATTTTTCTTGTGTTACGGACGGACACTTTTTTAACAAACATCCTAATGATAAATATTAATGAAAAAATTTGATTTTTAAAATGATAATTGACTTTTCTTAAATTTAGGATTATAACAGCCTCTCTAATGATGATTGTAAAATGTTTTTTGTTCAAGCAATTGAACAGTACATAAACTGCCATTCGTCATAACCTACAGTAGGCCCTATATAATTGCAATAATTTCAGAGAAAATAAGTTATTAAACTAAATAATATCTTGAATTAATTAAACTTTAAATTTTTCATAATAATTTGATTAAATTGCTACCTTAGAAAAATTATATTGTGATGTAATAATTGATCAATTGTTAAATTGAAAGTGTAGTTTGGTTGACCCATGGTAAATTTAACATACACTGCCTAACTTGTCCGTCCGTAACACAGATATATCTGCCTGTAACAATATTTGAATTTAATAGTAGCTTTAATTGAAATTTTATGTCAGAAACAATTGTACCATTCAGTACATCTACATTTATAAATGTCCAAGGAGTTCAGTATGAATTGTAAAATTGTTGTAAATTTGAAACATACAGTATGAAGGAACATTACACCCAAGTGCGTTACGGACGGACATTTACCCTGAGGTTACATTACTAAATGAATATTTACACCAATTTACTGATAGATTTTATGAGAAAAAAATTGCTGAACATAAACATAAACATTCAGTGTAATTCATTTCAACATTGTTTAACATAAATTGGCCAATAAAAATGTATTTTATGTGACATGTCCGTCCGTAACATGTCCGTCTGTAACAACATTTGTTACGGACGGACACATTTTTAATTAAATGTGTAATTAAAATTTTCACGTTAACAAAATTTTTATTAAGTTATTTTGTAATCATTAATGTAGTAGAGATAAGTTAATATGTTCTTTTTTAATTAATAATCTATTGTATAGAAGCATGAAAAAACATTTAAGCTAACTTGCGTTACGGACGGACGTCTGAATTTTGGACTACAGCTAATTAGGTATTTTTACTAATTACCAGCAATATTTACTAATTTTTTATGTATATTCATTAAGACATGTTTCACCTTTACACTTACTAGTAATCAAAGAATCTGAAAGTTTAAAGGTTTTTTATATAAAAGATGTATTTTTCTATTAAAATGTCCGTCCGTAACATTCATATTATATACCCCCTATATAAAAAGTGGTATGATCCTAGAATGCAGAGGTAAAATTTCATGATTTTTGTTTTGTTCCAGTAACTACAGATACCAGCTATTCATATTATAACAATTTAAGTCAAAAATTATTTTTGACATTAATGCAAAACCTAAATGGATTATACTCCATACTGTATAACATCGGGAAAACACATCGGGAAAACGCATCGGGGAACCCATTGCAAAAGATACAATGGGTTATTTTTAGTGCACACGAGGCACTTATTTGAAAAGATTTGGTTTTACCAACCGAATCCTGGACGCGGAGCGGCTTAAACCCGCGCCAATATTAAGGCTGTTAGTTAGCGGTGCTCCTGCCTTACTACTCAACCACTCAAAAACCAGAGGATCCACTAATTAGTCTTAAATAAAACCTAAAGACAGTAACTCCGAAAAGAGACAGAGACATTTTGAGATTCAACGTTCCGATCTATTTGATCATTTTCAGGAATACAGACAAGAAAATCTCACCCTTTATATATGTTTAATACAATATTTACTGTATAACAGAAAGCAAATAAAAACTGAGTAATCAGATTAAAATCAAAGTTATAACTAGACAATGACATAAAACTTATTGTTTATTTCATGACATGAGACTTTCATTCAGCCAGCATTCCCAGGCTTCTATACAATTGTTGATTATTTATTGTTTTATTCACAATAGCAAGTGATATACTTAAGATGCACCTCAGTTTTAATGACCTTGTTTTTAATTGGCTAGTTATAACTTTGATTTTTTTCCATGGGGTTCAAACCTCCCTTTTTTCAGAAATACTTTTTACATTCTATAATAGTAAAGAGTTGTTGGTATTCAATGTTTCCTAATAACATCTTCCCTAGCCATGGTGGAACTGAGAAGGGTGTGGACTCAAAGTGCCCTGTGGGAAGATGTAGAACACCATTTAGTTGCCCTACTATACAGGCTTAGGGCAAATGTCTGAATAATCTCCATGGTTTAGCATGCACGCTGTGGCTGCCACCATTTTAGCTGACTGATCTACAGTAAGCTGCTCTTTATCTTCTGATATAGTAGGCCTACGTTTAGGTGATTGTTGTGAGTGATATTATTTTCTTGTTTTGAACATGTTTGTGAAGAAATATAATCGGTCATCTTCCATTATACCAATTCAACTATTGTACAAGAAATACAGTTTAAGTGCATTATAATTTATTATAGTGCATTGTATATTACTAACAGTAATTCATAATGAACTCCTCAAGTACTGCATGGACGTAGACTGGGGGTGTGCAGATGTGACTTCCCCCCCCCCCATACCAGCAAATTTGTTCCGCAAATGAAGTAGGTGGGGTAATCATCTATAAGTGACTATTAATTTTTCATTAGAATAGGGATTTAGTTCCACATTCTGATACTTATATTTAGTTCTGCATTGTCATTTTTCGCACCCCCACCCCCTTGACCGAGGTCAGCCTACGCCCCTCAATAGTTGACACAGTATATTTATTATTCATGCTGCCTTGATGTTCAATAATTACAATTAATGACTCATGGATCAAGATTAAATATTATTTTAGTCAAGGACACAGCTGGCAATGTTGTTTTGACATTAAAGGCTAAAAATAAATAACCAAAAAGCTAATATTGTTCTTTATGAAATACTACACAGATACTGCCTTCATTGCTATAGCATCATTTCTATTCATAACTAACCGCAATACAAATTCCCCATTCAATAGAGGGTTGACTAACTGTCATAAGGTTTAAACAAAGATGTACACTACAGTAGATATGTTGAGAGACAATATATTTAGGTATATATTTGACAATTTCAAATAGTAAAAATGTGTAAAAAGACAAACACAACTTGATATCTGTAATTTGCAGGCTAAATTAAATTATAAAAAGAACCTTTCTGGATACTGTGTTGTACAATTGAATTTTTTAATACACAAAAGGGCGTTTGTCAAAAAAATTTTAGAACAATGACATGAGATACAGATATTTGGATTATTTAAAAATGAGAGGGGGTGCGGAAGGGGGGGGGGAAATAAAGTGTGGTTCACCCCTTTTCCCCTAGTTTTATATTTGAATTTGTCACTTTTGCCTTATTCTCATTAAAAAAAATTTAGGCAGGGAAAATTATATTTATTAGGTTATTATTATATTATACTATTGTTTTAGGTTTAAATTTAGAACTGATTAAATGGTGTCATGACCCCAATCTACACAGTAGACTAGACAGCTGGTAGACCCCACTTCCTGTATTCCCACAATACATGATAAATATTATGTAAAGGCATACCTATATAGTTCCATTGACCTTTGTTTTAAATAACGGCCTGTTTCTACTAGGAAGGAAAAAAAATTAAAAAATCACTTTTTTCCTTGCAGCAGAAAAGGGACCAGTTCGAAAAAAAGCGATTAAATAAAAGCAATTAAAAACACGCAATGGATAGCGTGTTTGAATGGCAAATAAACGATTTTGGCTGTGTACTTTTTAGGTACAAAAAAGCGATTATCATCAGGTGACCTCCAGGTACGTCAAACCACTGCTAGGCTGGCTTGTATCTATCGTGTGCGATTTTGTTCATGTTCTAGGCCTAGAAGCTAAAACGTCAACAAACATGTGGAGCAATGAAACTACTTGTTAAATGGTAATTATTTTGTCAGGGGATATTGGGCCTAGGCCTCTCTGCTGTTCTGAGCCTACCGTTGGCCTCATTCGTTTGCAATCGCCTTCTCGCTGCAAGCGCCTTCTCACTGCAGACAGTATCCTTCACCTCGTCATCATGGCTAGAATAGTTGGTGAGAAAGAAAATAGCTTGTAATTAAAAGTGTTATAACCAAAATGTGACATAATTTCTGTCGCGAAAACTGATTTTCATAAAAGCAAAAATGCAGTTGGCCATGTGGGCAGGCTGTCTGGGCACTCGTAAAAAGCGGTTTAAAAAAATTGATTATTTTGTGTTTATCAGTTAGAAACATGCCCTAAATTTATATATCCTTGCACTATATTTAGAAAGACATACCTGTGGAAATGTTTTATAACAATTGGCTCCAAAATAATTACACAATGCATACATTATTTAACCAAATGGAT